CTCTTTGAACAAGCAGCGAAAGCTGCAGATCATTTGTCAGTCTGCCGCCTGAGTGAAAACTATTACCATCGACTGCAGGTGTAGCCAGACATGCATCTGCTCAAAACAAATGAAGGCAAAAAAAAAATTGTGTGCAATAAACACTTATGGGAGGCTGAAGACCCGCTCTAACTACCAGTGTTGGGCGTGATCTATCTCTGACCATTACGGCGATATTAGTGATGGGGGGGGGATTGCAAGGTTGTCCTGACTCTGCTTGTCATTGACAGAATGGACAACCTGTGAGGTGAATTTCAATTGGCTCATAAAAAGGAAGAGTTACTCCTTTTGGCAGGTGCCTGGGTTCCAATCCGATAGCTTGCACTCTTGCCGTCTGCTTGTGCGGACTTCCCCTGCGCCCTGACATACCCAGCCACAGTCTGTGGTAAACAGGGCCAGATGGAAGAGATAAACACCAGGGTTAGACTTATGTGAGAAGGTTCAAGATAGTTGCGTTTCATTATTTCTCACGGCCCTAAAGATTCCGAAAAATCTCGGAATCTTAGCGGCGGCACCTCTGAGGTTTTTTTTTTTTATCCTTAGGAGTGTAACAAAATCTGCAAAACAACACAAGGATCATCATGGGACTCTAAAACTCCAGTAAAAGTCAAACAAACAGTTATTAGCTCCCCATGGCAGGTTTCACTGCCTTCTTCTCCTTCTTTACAAAGAGCACTGCAGCAAGTTGTAGAATCAACCATCATAGTTGTTGGCTTAAGTTTAAAGGGAAAAACAAATGAAGTCTTCGAAAAACCAAGGGTCCCCAATCCCTGGTTCTGTGTCGGTCCATAGGTCATTTGGTACCGGGACACAGTCATATCGCTTTACTTTTTTCATTCAAAGATAATCTGTCAGTGCTTCAAAACAACAGGTCTGATCCTGCTTCTTAACCATAAACATTAGAGTCTGCTCACTGCCATGGATGGATGTTTTTTTTTTTTTTTCTCCTTGCGTGTTTCTCGGCACAAGGGTGAGAGAGATGGCGGGGATCTTTCTGACGGTCACACTCAGTTTATCTTTACTACAAGGTCAGGGAAACCTTTTTCTCTCCATGAAAGCTTTCAGATCTGTCACACATGCTTAGGTTTGGAACACTCCCCTGCCCCTTCACTCTCCTTTGCCTTCATCTTTTCTCCTTTCCACACTCATATACTGCCCATCCCTCATCACATGCTCAACACACACACAAACCGAGACCACCCTTTAAATGAAGGATTTTTTTTTTTGTGTGGAAGTCTAATATTCAAACATTCAAGATTAATTGTTTAAGGAAAATGAATTTAACTTCTCACCATAAATAGATAATATCAAATAACAACCAAAACTCAAACTCAAAAGAAGCATGAAACCAAACACAAATTGAAGTGAGTAACTAACAGGGAGAAACACAAGGAAAATACATGGTAAAAAAAACAGACAGAGTGAGGGGCAGAGAGATGTTCATACCCCAGGACAACAGGTGAGAGAGATGAAGCTGGTTAACGAGCTCAACGAGGAGAGACAGACAGAGCTGAGTTAGACTACAGCAGCAGCAGTAGAACTGGGAGAGAGAGATGGATGGATGGATGGATGGATGGATAGATAGATAGATAGATAGATGGATAGATGGATAGATAGGTGGATAGATGGATAGATGAATAGATAGATAGATAGATAGATGGATCGATGGATAGATGGATAGATGGATAGATAGATGGATAGATAGGTGGATAGATGGATAGACAGATAGATATAGATGAATAGATAGAGAGATAGATAGATAGATATAGATAGATGAATAGATAGATATAGACAGATAGATGAATAGATAGATAGTTACACCTTCATCGTGAAAAGCTAACCAGGTCTTTATAGACAAACACACATCATCACAGAACACCCCGTGGCTCATTATATTTTATATTTACTGTTACCCCTGAGACATCACTCAGGTACGGGTTGGGCGTTCGACCCCGGCTGTTTGTCTCCAGTAAGCAAACAGTAAAGTGGCTACGGGACACATTTATACTCACATACTGGACTTGGGGCTAACGAGGATTTTTATTGGCCTGGAGATGCATTTTAAAGGGG